ATTCATCTTTCATCCTTCTTTGGCAATTTCCTTCCAGTTTCCCTTAACAAACACTTACCAGTTAACTCAAGACATCACAACTGACAGTCTTGGTATACTGATGTATCCCCAAACAGTTCAGGATGTGCTAAACAACAACCCCTTTGGGTCTGGAGGGGGCGGGTAGAGTGTTAGGGGCTGGGGTAAGCATGAGCTCTCTAGAGGCAGTTGCCTCAGTACATGTGCCATGATGTGAAAAAGACTGGGAAACATTAGGATACAAGACTGGTTAGAAACACTGCTGGAAAAAACTAAAAATAGCCTGCATGCCATAAAAAAGGTAACACTCTTTATGTACCAAATTGAAAACCTTCCAAGACATGTAAGTGTAGAGTAGCAAGATGTACATAGTACGTAAAGCATAATACCATTGTATAAAAGGGGTAAGATACACAAACTCAACTGCTTATATACAGGACAGAGGAGCCTGGCATGCTGCAGTCCATGGGGTCGTAGAGTCAGAAATGACTTCAGGCCTGAACAACAAGAAACAATGCATAGGGTGTAACTGTAAAGGTGTACTACGGTGACTGACTTTTGGGGGAACCCAGTGGTTGGACATAAAGGTGGGAGGACTTCTCTTTGTAAGCCCTTTGCACGTATGAATTTTGAACCACGTGACAGCATTAACTATTAAAAAGATCTTTAAGTTGCTAAAAATGGGCTTCCCCTGTGTGGCTCAGCTGGTAAAGAATCCGCATACAATGCGGGAGACCTGGGTTCAATCCCTGGGGTGGGAAGATCCCCTGGAGAAGGGAAAGGCTACCCACTCCAGTATTCTGGCCTGGAGAATTCCATGGACTTTATAGTCCGTGGGGTTGCAAGGAGTTGGACACGACTGAGCAACTTTGACTTTCACTTTAAGTTGCTATACCTATCTAGTCCTGTTACTAACTTTGATTGGTAATGATTATTTTCTACCCCCAAACACATTCATTACTAGTCAAACACTGAGTTAAAATAATACAAGAAAGATCTCGATGCTGGTTACCCAGCTGTGTCCAGTTCACCAAAACCCACTGAGCTCTGCACTTAGTTATGATCTGTGTACTTTTCCAGAGACATAACATATATTTCAATAAGAAATGAAGATGAATGAGTTACTTGGCTCAACTTTCTTTTTGTCCCTCCTATTAAAAGAGTACTGCGTGGTATAATATGTCATATATTTGCCTAAATAAATTAGTTTCAAACTGTTCAACATTTCAAACTGTTCAATAACATTTCTTAAGAAAAGAATGTGGGTTAGTGATACCGACCCTATGTGACAAGGGAGAATCAGGCTTGCAAGCTCCTCCTGACTTTTCTACTGGCATTAACAGTCTCCAGGCCCACACTCTGCTGCGAGGTCCTCTCAGTGGGAGGTTTTAACAAGCCTTGAAGAGCATTACTAAAAACTACTTAATGGTTTACTATATTTAAGTCACATTTTTTCATTATGAAAATGTTTTGAAAATGCCGAGGTCATGAAAAACAAAGAAAGAGGCGGTGCAAACATCCCAGATTAAACAGACATGACAACCAAAGGTGATGCCTGACCCCAGGGGGGAGGCTGCAATGGAGAAGGAAGAGGTGCTGCTGTGACTTTGTTGAGTCTACAGACATCATGTTTGATTTGCTTAAGCTGTACTGTGGTGGTATAAGAGAATTTCTGTATTTGTCGTCAAAATACACTGACACTGTTTAAAGTAAAGGGCCACAAAGAAAGCTCCCCTTAAACGGTGGCTGAGTGTGTCTATGTCTCTGCACCAGAAGGAACGGGGAGGGGGCAAGTGGGAATACAAGCAAATGACGGCACAAATGGATAAAACACGAACAGGTTACTCTGAGTGTAGGCTTGCATTTTTTTTAAAATTCCTGTAATGTTCCTATAAAATTAAAATGATTGCCAAATAAAGTTTTTAAAGTCATGTATTAAGAATCAGCCACTAATAATAGACAAAACAGGGACTTCTCTGGTGGTGCAGCGGTTAAGACTTCACGCTTCAAATGCAGGGGGTCACGAGTTCAATCTACGGTCAGGGAACTAAAAAAAAAAGTCAAAACAAGTGTAGAAATGAATCTGAATTTTGACTGACAGTTGCTCCTGAGGAGCCACTTTAATTATGTAAGTGTAATCCCAAGGCATTATTTGGGACTTGCAAAAAGGAAGAAAAAAAAAAAAATTACACCTTCTGGCTAGGTTTATAATAGTACCTTCCAAGATCCAAAGCTTAACATAACTGTCTTTAATATAAGACTCCAACTCAATAATTTCTCATAATGTGAGCCTTAACAGAGAATCTAGATTTTATAGAAAGTTTAATAAAAGTTCCTCATCCATGTGAGGGATTATGGTGAACACAACAGTAAATTCTAATAACTTCTCAGGTTAGAACTGCTTAAAGCCCTACATAAGGGGAAAGAGAAAAGAAATCAAAAGTCTAACAAAGTGGTAAATGCCTCAGTAGAATTCTTAAAATGATAGTGATAAACTCTATGTGAAAGGCAAAATTAAATTTACAGAAAAATATATATCAAGTTCCTGTGGCCCAAGGAAGGGAAGAATTTCTTAAGACATGAAAAGCACAAATCACACAGGGAAAGAATGGTGAATTAGACTACACTTAAATTCATAACTTGCATATATTAAAAATACCATATTTAAAGTGAAAAGAGAAGCTACACCCCAGTGAAAGATTCCTGCTGTTGTTGAGTTGCTCAGTCAGGCCCGACTCTTTGGACCCCCCAGGCTCCTCTGTCAGTTGGATTTCCCAGGCAAGGATACTGGAGCGGGCTGCCGTTTCCTCCTCCAGGGGATCTTCCCAACCCAGGGATTGAACTCGAGTCTCCTGCAATGGCAGGTAGATTCCCTACCTCTGAGCCACCGGGGAAGGCCCAGGTAAAAAGATATACTCCCACAAAAGGAGAGTCATCTGGTATAAGCCCTGTGGAGGCCAAGCCAGCAGGATCTAGAAAAAACTGTCATCAGGCTTTAGAGAAATGCAGAGAAGTGGGGCCAGCATCCAAGGTGACTCAGGAGATCCTGGGCAGGGACAAGCAGTGATGTGTCACACAAGCAGTGAAGGGGGCTTCCCCCCCGACCAGGCCCTTTTTTTAATAAGGTCATTTACCAGACCCATCAAGTCTAACCAGCAGTTCCAAGTATACAGATGGGATGATTCCAGCACCCTCACTTCAGGCCTTACAAAACTTTGGCGATCACATGGTAAAAAGAGAAATAGCCCCTCAAACTGGCTCCCGACCCCTACAACCTCAGGATACTACTTTCTCCCTCCATCTTGGCATTAACATTAGGTCTAAGTTCTCAGTAAGTGAGGACACCGAGTGTTGCTGTCTATCTAGCAGCGTGTAAGATCTAACGGTGTGACCACGCTGGGACAGATTTGCATAACAGGTGGTGTGAGTGGCCAAGAACCCGCCCACTGAGGCAGGAGACAGAAGAGACACGGGTTCCATCCCTGGTGGGGAAGGTCCCCTGGAGGATGGCACTCCACTCCAGTACGCTTGCCTGGAGAACCTCATGAAGAGAGGAGCCTGGTGTGCTACACTCCGTAGGGTCACAGAGAATCAGACACGATGGAAGCAACTTGGCACGCACATGGCACATCTCAAAGGCAGGCCTATCCTCTACATTTCTGGCAAGAAAGCTAGCTCCTCAGAGTTCAGGGGCAGTATAAAGCACTCCAAAATACAGAGGGCATTACACATTTTAAGAATAATGAAACATGTTAAAGTTATAACTACTTAATTAAGGATGAGGAAAATGCAAGAATACCGTTAGCTGTATTTTGTTTAAAACTCCACGAAATTCCCAAATAGCTTTCCTGGCAGCAAAAATCCATGAAAACAGAATCCCCCCTAGATCCAAGGAGCAACAGCTGGTGGATGGGGAGGCAGGGGAAGAGACAAAGATCACAGGGTTCACTCTAATGGCATTCTGATTTAAAAGGCATCTTTTACAGATGGAAACTAGGAAGACTACTTCCTGTATACTTGAAAGTGTCCACTTCCCTAAAAGTTCAAACAAAAGAAACAGTATGATTAGGAGACATTTCAAAAGGAGTCTAGGGAAAAGACAAGTACAGGCAAGAACACCATTTCTTCACATAAGCACTTTAGAAAATTAACTGAAGACAGGCTAACAGTTTACATCTGAAGCTGCATTTCTTTTTCTTGGGCAAAGGTCTAGCGATTCCCTCTGTGCCTCACAACTATCAGCAGTTTATCCATCTAAACACAACACAACCTAAATAATTTTTTCCATTCTGACTAATATCACATCCTGCAACTGCAGGCAAGAGGTGAACATCTGCCAATAAACACAGAAAAGTCAAAAGCTAACTCATATTCTCCAGAACTATTAAAAAGAAAACATCTCCAAGTAGGTTTCCTACAAAAAATTGCACTTATGTATCAATATAACTCATAAACTGCCTATTCTGAAAGGAAAACTATATTGCAAACTTACAGATCTTAGTAACTGTAAAAAAGTCAAGGTCTAAAATAAATGCAAACCCAAATACTGTCAGTTGTTTTACATCATTACTCATTTTATGAATTCAAAACATGTAAGTCTCTAAACTGTGTGGGTCAGCATGACCAGATGAAAGGGGTCAGGCCTTTGGAAGAAAAAGGACACTCTCGCAAATCACATCTGCAGAATCAGAAGTCAGAGTAAATGAATCTTCAAGAGAATCATGAAAGTATCACCATGACCTGTATTAATCCTTTTCATTGGGTCCCAAAAGCCATCATTAACTAAAATTTTAGGACCAAAGTACAGAAGGTAAATTTAAAAGCTAAGAGAAAAGGTAATAAGAGAGAACTCAAAAGAACTAATGTAAAAACATATAACAACTTAGTACCAGTTGTTAAGCGTTAAGGAGGACATTGTCATAGTTTCCTATGACTGGTCCAGAACTAATGACAAAATCAACAGATTTTCTTCTTGTTCTTACCTCGTAAGACCAGACGCACTGCACGCCTGCAAACCTTCGGACACATCTTCCCACCTCAACGTCCTCGTGGGTCGTGTACATTTCCCGGAGGCACTTGCCGATGTGTGGGACCATTCTCCGGAGAACCTCCCGGCTCATGATCACACCAGGCCCCCCCATACAGAAGTTCTCGCCAGGTTCCAGAGCAAGCTTTCCCATTTCTTCCGTGGTGCCCAGTCCCGTCTGCCCAAGAAAGAGGGGTTCACTACTATTCAAACTCCTCAGAAAACTCTCCAGACGGTCTCCTTTGATGTAAACATCATCATCTGCTCTCATAAACCATTCGTATTTGTCCAAGTAGTGGTCATGCATGTACTTGAGCATCATAAAAGACTTCTTCTGGGGTGGGTAGGAGTCATCCACGCCCCGCAGTGGCACTACTGGAATTGAGATCGATGTGTCTGAACCCTCACTAGAGAAGAATTCAACTTTCCCAGGAATTGTCTTGGACCACGTCCTGGAATTAAAATAAACATCAGTGAGAGAACAGTTTATTCCAAGCTTCCCATTTCTATAAATTCCAATATTGACTCATGTTGAATCACTGTGCATTCAAAAGGATGATAAAAAGCTATATGCTTGCTTCTCCTTAACAGAAGCCCACACTACCGGGTATTGCAAAGTTCTAACTTGTTTTCAAAGGAATCCCAATAAAAAAGAATGATGAATATTAAAATACTTCCCAGACAACTATGTTTTGGCTAAGGCTGAAAAATCGCCAGGGCACCAAGTCTAGATATTTAGGTTAATTTTCTGATACTACTGACTCCCTACCTATAAAACCCTCTGCTCTATAAAACAAAAGATTACAAAATAAAATTGTTCATTCAACACATTTTCTTGGAATGCTCATCAAGTGCCAAGTATGCGTGAGGCCACAGGGATGCAGTGGTGAGCAAAACACAGACCCTCCAGCTGAAGTGCAGTCAACAGAGGGCAGAGACACATCTCTCTCCAAGAGAAAGGATGCGAACTAGAGCAGAAGAGGGACTGCTTCCTGAGGCGGGGACCTCAAGGGGGAGCAGCAGACCCAGAGCCCAGGGGCAGTCTCGGGGGGAGCAGGGGAAAACTGCAGGGCCTGACGGCCCCCCAGCAATGGGGCCTTTATGCTTTAAAACATCAGGAAGACACTGGAATCAAGGTGAAGGGCCCAGAGTTCTGGAACATAAGCGTTTCGTAGGAAACTGCTCATCCCACTGCCAGAGGACACATTAGGGGTCAACTAAGAGAAAACAATGACGAATTCTGCTGCCAAACAACAGATTTAAGGCCATCAGATTACATTTTTCCTTATGCTTTCTTTATGCTACGTATTAAGAGTTGAAGCAGTCTAGCTACAAAAATACAAACGACTTCTAGAAAAAACATATCATAGAGAATAAATGAAACTGTACATTTAGCCTTAATACAGTCAAAAAGCATAGTTTCCAAATGATGTTCTTTCCAATATAGTCTTATTGTATGTAACTGTTACAATTGTATTTATTATAGTGAAAAGCGACTGAAAGATCAATGAAAAACATGTATGTTCTCTGTAGGCTCAGACAATGGTTAGCAATTTTAGCAATATAATATTTTAAAATTAGCATATGTACATTGGTTTTTAAACATAATGATACTGCACACTTAAAAGACCACAGTTTAGCATAAATATAAATTTTATATGCAGTGGGAAGTCAAAAAAACTGTGTGACTTGCATTCTTGTGATACTTGTTTTCCTGCAGCAGCTACGAATTTCCAGTGTAACTATGAGATATGCCTATATTGCCAGTTGTAATCACATAATGCCAGCAACTGTAAAATGATCTTCACTTCAGAGATGCTAAAATGCGAAAACAATGTACATCTTCGAATGTATATAGTATAGTAGTTGTAATGAGTGCTAAGTCGCTTCAGCTGTGTCCAACTCTTGTCCACCCCATGGACTGTAGCCCACCAGGCTCCTGTCCATGGGACTCTCCAGGAAAGAATACTGGAGTGGGCTGCCAGGCCCTCCTCCAGGGATGGATCTTTCCAACCCAGGGATCGAACTTGCACCTCTTCTGTCTCCTGCACTGGTATGTTCTTTGCCACTAGCACCACCTGATAAAATTTTCCCTTAATGCCTATGGATTTAAAATGGACCTATGGGTCTTATGCCACTTACAGAATCCTTAACAAAGAATTTGGCATAAATGAAACCTGACTGGACTACAGAAAATATACCGGGTTACTACATTTTTACAAATGATATGCTCCTGAAAAGAAGTATGCAAACACAGCAGGAATGAGGCAATTAAAGAGAAATCAACCCCTCCCGTAAAGAGGAAGTCCATTTTAAAATGGGAATGAGCCCCAACCTACACAAAATATGATAACTTATATATCAGTCCCTGGCATGTAATAGTGTTCAGTAAATACTGCTCATCCATGTGAAGTGACTGAAAGATACCTTTGTACACGTGTGGGCATGTGAAAGGGAAGAAACCATTTGTTTCTTATCTTTGAAAAATTTCCAAGAGGGCCACATTAATATTCCTATGTGCAAAAAGAAACCAATTTTATCAAAACACAACCAGAATACAATTATTAAGAGGTAAAATCCACAAGCATACTTGAGTTGAAATATACTACCATTCATGCTATTTCTGAAATGCAATTTAAAGCTAAATAGTCTGTTGTATCTCACAACTGATTTTAAAAGGGTAATGAATAAAATCAATTTAGCTTTAGCTTCCATCCAACTGCTTCTGTGACTAACAACACAGACCAAGTTCAAAGTAGTACTAAAGTAGTCAATCCCAGAAGCCATTAAAATACTAAAGCATCATGGGATTATCTGGAATACAGGGGCTCTAAGACAACATCTACCTTCAGAGGAAAAACCTGCTCTCAAGACACAATACAGTGTGTGATGGCTAAAGCCATGGACTCAGGAATCAAGCTGTTGGGGTGCGAATCCTGCCTTCACTTTGGGCAAAATATTCTGTGCCTATGTGAACTGGGGATAATAAAAAATATCTGCTTTATAGGGTTAGGGTAAGGGGTAAGTGGATTCTTATATCTAAAAACGCCAGCCTGGCACAAGATAAGCAAGTACACAGGTGTTAACTCATTAGGGAAGACAAGTGTTTGCAAATAAAATAAGGTACTGAAATAAAAACAAGAGAGATAGGAAACTGTGGGCTGAAGAACAGTCGGTCTCAAGATGACACACCAAAGTGAAAGCACGGAGATAAATGCTGCTTCTCTTATTTCTGGCTGAAAACCTGTCCCTTAAGCTATATGACAAGTTCTATCATATGAACCTCAAGACAACATCAGGGTGCAAGTCTAAAAAGACTTTAAAAGTGTTCTCACTTAAAACACTGCAATCCTTCATACTAAACTGAGGATAAAAACCCATTTGGTCTGGCTCTGCTTCCCAAGGCTGCCCCAAGAAAACGCAGAGATGGAAGCACTAGCAGTACACCCATCAGTGAAGGGATTAATACTTGAACTGTAACCTGAAATGGCATTAATTTGTCCAGGAAGAGCAAGTAACTAATTTTAAAAACAGACACTCTAACTTCAAATCATCTTTGAAAGCCTCTCTGAAGTTTTAAGGTAACGCCAACCATTATTACCTTTTCCCCAGGTAACCCAAAGAAAAATCTCATGCTGCCCTTTTGCTTAGAGGGAAATCTCTCAATATGGAGTTGTTGTAAATCCTTTCATCTCGATAAATTACAATCTTTAAACTTAGGATACCTTTAGCTTAACTAGTTCCATAAAGTTAAAGAGTTCTGGAACACAAATCACAATTCACCACCCTGGGAGAACCAAGGTGAGGGCATTGATAATTCCAAAGAAATGAAGTAAATGCTACTGAAGAAGCACACTGCCCTGCCCTTTCTGAGACAGAAACAGGTTAGCATCCTTAATTTTCATAAGCAAATGTCAACTTTGCCATCAACACATATGTAACTGGGGGGAAAGAGCTCTCACTTAATTGAAACCACTCAACATCTGAATGGGTCCCTGCCAGAAAGCTCACTTTTCAATGAGCTGATAACCAACTCTTGCTAAAGCAGACAAGATAACTGAAATCTGCGAATGCCAAGCCAATAATCTTCCTTTCCTCCAGGCTTCCAAACCCTGCCCCTATACCGAGTTAAGTCACAGTGAAGTCAGGCAGCTGGACAATATTAGCTTCGCTGAGGAATGTCTTTGCTGAACTGGGATTTAATAACAGTCTCCATCTCTATGTCACTTTAAGAAAAACTACATAAAATACGTTTCTGTACAAAACCACATTTACAGAATGCATACCATCCTGGGTACACATTCATGTAGGTAAATTTTAAAAGCAAGCAATAGAATACTCATGATACGGATTAATAGGGGAACAAAAGTACACACACAAAGTAAAATAATGTACAACTCTACCCCGAAGTGTTTACTATGTTATTTTTGGATAGAGGATCAGAAAGGGATTTACTTTTCTTCATGTTTTCTACAACAAATACAGTTACGGGAAAAAAAATTTAAGTCTTAGGGAAAGCTTCAAACTAAAAAGCATTCAAAGAAATAGAACTTGACAGGAGATAATTTTACTCGTGTAACACTTTTTACTCTATTCACCAGGAAAAAAACAAACAGAAAAATGGAGTAAGATTGAGTGCTTTTCTTTCACATTTTCTAAGCTTCTTCAGTTTTATAAATAAAGGGAGATTTTCTGTGAGTTGCCCCAAATCACTATTACATATGTGGTCTGATGGTTACAGTGTAAGTTTGAAAGGACTCATGAATCAAATCATTTTGCAATTTCTAGTCAAGGAAGGAAGGGAGAATATAGTTTTCCCCTACGAACTGATAGGTTTGTTTGTTCAGTCAAGCCCGATTCTTTGTGACCCCATGGACTGCAGCATGCCAGGCTTCCCTGCCCTTCACTATCTCCCTGAGTTTGTTCAAATTCATGTTCACAGTGAGTCAATGATGCCATTCAACCATATCACCCTCTGTAGTCCCCTTCTCCTGCCCTCAATCTTTCCTAGCATCAAAGTCTTCTCCAATGAGCTGGCTTTTTGCATTAGGTGGCCAAAGTATTGGAAGTTCAGCATCAGTCCTTCCAGTGAATATTCAGGGTTGATTTCCTTTAGGATGGACTGGTTGGAGCTCCTTGCAGTCCAAGGGATTCTCAAGTCTTCTCCAGCATCACAGTTCAAAAGCATCAGTTCTTCAGTGCTCAGCCTTCTTTACAGTCCAACTCTCATATTCATACATGACCACTGGAAAAACCATAGCCTTAACTAGATGGACCTTTGTTGGCAAAGTGATGCTTCTGCTTTTTCATGCTGTTTGTCTAGTTGGTGATGGCTTGTCTTCCAAGGAGCAAGAGCCTTTTAATTTCATGGCTGCAATCACCATCTGCAGTGATTTTTCGAGCCCCAAAAATAAAGTCTGGCACTGCTTCCATCGTTTCCTCATCTATTTGC